TAAACTTTGGCGTCTTTTTCATCAGACTATGCTCTATGTTTTAGCGATTCCGTGGAGTGACTTAGGTTAAAAAACCCAGGTTGTTTGTGTGTGTGTGTGTGTGTGTGTGTGTGTGTGTGTGTGTGTGTGTGTGTGTGTGTGTGTGTGTGTTTATATGTGTTGATCATGTGTGTGTATGTTTTTGTGTGTGTGTAAAAAACAAACATCCACTTTTTTTTTTTAAGGTAGTATTTTTTATTGTCTTAAAACACTTTTTTCTTTATTTACATTCAAAATGCTTTAAAAATTCCATTTACAAAACAATTGTTTATAATAAAATTCTATTCACCAATCGATAGACTCATAACGATTGTAAACAATGTTTTTGTTTTAATTTGGGTTTGACCAATTCGTAAAAAAAAAAAAAAAAAAAAAAAAATTAAGACATGCGTGTCCGTCAACCTTAAACAATAATCTTTGTCAATTTTATTTTCAGTCTTTATGATGGTCGCTACTTGATCTATCTCTTACTGTTACATCCCCGGCAACGCCGGGCTCTACTATAGTATATATATATATATATATATATATATATATATATATATATATATATATATATATATATTTTTTTTTTTTTTTTTTTAAAAATATAATGACAAAAAATTCAGGTAAACAATTTCTCGATGAAAACAAACGAGGAACGGAATTAATATACTCACCTTATGAGTCTATTAACACAATGTCAGATACACCAATTGCCCGGATGATTCCAACTCCAAAAAGCAAAATGTTATTGGTTACCTCAGTAGCATTTTTTTTTTCAGTAAGGAAAATTATATTTATTGAATATATTGGCCATGTTAAACCTTCGTGCTCGCAAAAAAAGATTTTCCTTTGACACCGCTATTATTTAACTCCTTCAACGTTTATTGTTTTAAAAAGCGATGATTAGAATTTTAATAAAATCTAAACATATGAAGGTGAATTTATACATTTTCTTTTGTCTTGAGAATTGTCAACAAAATAACAAACACTATTTATTTATAAGATTCTTTCTTTATTAGAATGGTTGGCAATACATCGGCTACTTGCCAGTTGATTCAAAGTTTATAAAATGATAAATAAGAATTTCTTTATGGTTGGTTCACATATTTTAATAATTTAGTAGATGTTTGAATAATAAATTGTTTTCGGATTTATTTCTTTATAAATTGGTAAATGATAAATATTGCATTAATTAATTTTTAGAATGCTGTAAATATAAAATTATTCTTGTAAATAAACAATGTAATAAATAAACAGTGTTTAATATTTTCGTTGTCAATTTTCAAGAACAAAGAAAATTTATAAATTCACTTTCATATGTTTAGGTTTTATCAAATTTCTTATCATCATTTTTTAAAAGGTGAAAAAAAGGTATTTGAAATAATAGCAGTGCCAAAGGTAAACCGCCCTTTTGACATTCCGTTTTTTTGCTAGCACGAGTGTGAAATATTGCGAATATATTAATAATAACTCTTCTCAAAATTAGGAGGCAACAAAATATTTGTTATACAAAATAAAACCTTTTTTCTTCGTTAAAATCATAACATTGGTCTACCTACATGTGTGTGTGTCTGTCCACTAACGTAGATTGCACAAAAAGTTTAACACACGCCTTTGTCTGGGTCGGGGCAGAAATTGTCCAGTCCTTGTGTTGTTTATTGTACAAAAGACAGGGAAAACAATGACTCTCCCATTTTGTGCAATGGGGAGAAGGTAATGTACTGGATTTGGAATTCCCATGGACCAGGCGCGTTCAAATCAATTTTATTTTTTTTGCAGTTTTACCTGAAGAAAGGAACAAGGTAGAATCCAATCTCGAAATACCGTCTGCTTCGGGGTGTTTTTGTTTTTTTTAGCCGGTTAATATAAGCGCATGTATAATAAAATCATATTCGTAGATATAATTTTCTTCAAATTGTATATAAATATAATGTATATATATATATATATATATATATATATATATATATTTTTAAATAAACTACAATATGTAAATTTGGAATTTTGTTTAATATCACAGATAAAAAAAAATTTAAGAATATTAGAAAAACAATAAAATTCATCAGCATTCCTTGTCTGTTAGATTCAAATGAAACATGTTTTTGAAAGTTTGGTTTATTTAAATTTTAATATATATATATATATATATATATATATATATATATATATATGTGTGTGTGTGTGTGTGTGTTGTTAAAGAAATAGAGGAAAAATTTTTATTCTTAAAAGCCTTAATCCTAAGAATACTTTTTTTAAATTTTATCTTTTATTTATTTTGTTTCTTTTTACAGATACACTCTATCAGAAAATAATTTTTATATATATATATATATATATATATATATATATATATATATATATAGATAGATAGATAGATAGATAGATAGATAGATAGATAGATAGATAATATTAGTAACAAATATACACATACATATCCAATCAAAATATAAAATATACATACATACATACATTTACATATATATTTGTATAAAAAAATAAATCCAAGAGGATAGAATCCAGGTAGAACTCAATGTCCAGGACAGAGTAAGGATATAATAAAAAGGCTTAAACACTAATATTCCATGGTCATAATTTATTCCATTGGAATCGTAAATACGATCCAATTCATCAGACCTACAAATTCAAAAAGAAAACAGAAAAAACAACTCCGGGAATGAAAAAAAAAATTAGTGAGAGTGTATGAGAGTGTGGGACGAATGTTAGAGTAAAAGAAAGCTATAGGGAGGGGTAACAGACGAGAGAAGAACAGGAGAAGAACAGGAAGGTCTAAAAAGATGAAGGGGGGATTAAAATTGAACAGAGAGAAGTTTTTTAAATAAAGAGGGAGTCAAAGATTTTTTTAAGTGAGAGAAATATGAATATTCTCGGATGTCTAATACATTAAGGATGTAACCGGAAAGGATGCATTTTGTGGTGACATCTTAAAGATCAGAAGTTGAGAGAGAGAGAGGAAAAGAAAATAAAATAAAATAAAAAGGAGTGGGGGAGAGATGGGGTGTGAACTAAAACCGAAAGGCATTTATAAAAGGGCCACTATGTAATCAAGAAAATTTGACAAAAGTAATATCGACTACAGGTTACAAATCAAATATAAACATATAAAAAAAACAAACATAACGATTATCTAATCTAGCAAGGACCTATATTTTTAGGTTCCCACACTTTCATATTATACAGATACTAATTTTATTTTTTATTCCCCAACTGGTTGTTTTTTTTTTTTTTTTTTTTAATTTGTAGGTCTGATGAATTGGATCGCATTTACGATTCCATTGGAATAAATTATGACCATGGGATATTAGTGTTTAAGCCTTTTTATTATATATATATATATATATATATATATATATATATATGTGTGTGTGTGTGTGTGTGTGTGTTCAGGGACGATGAGAACGAATAGAGTTCGATCCCGACATTCTTAACATTTAATTTAAAAGAGGGCTATTTTACAAAGTAGAGCAATATTATTTACTTTAGGATATTACGCTGTAAACATGTAAAAATCGCTACACAAATTGCAGTCGTGTTTCAATGTATATCAGTATTCTCATCAGGCGATTGTTAATTTACTGGCCTATATATATATATATATATATAATATATATATATATATATATATATATAGGCCAGTAATTTACAATCGCTTGATGATTTAACATTTAAGGAAAAAAAGGAAAGAAATGAGACAAAGTAATAAAAAAAAGTAAAGAAAAAAGTAAAATAAAATGTAAAAAAAAAGTGTCAAAAATCCGGAGCATCTTGAAAACTACAACTTTCTTAGTAATTTTTCTTACTTTTTCTATACAAGCTTATATAGCAGACTCAAAAGTGCTACCCACCATAATAGTGCCGCCTGTAGCGGACCCCCGCCCTCTCTGGCTAAGCTACTGCACTACTCGGCACTTCTGTTGTGGATAATATTTGTGCACTATGTCCTGGTTTAAAGTGTGTAGAAACTGTGTTTTCTGTCTCGGATCAAAGTACCGCTCCTCGGCGATCTGCTTTGGATCAGTGTAGTGACCATGAGTCTTGAATTACTTAGAATTTGCCACTTAATTTTCCTCAAGAACACGTGACACAGTTGAAAAAACGTTTGTTGAATCGAGTGACTTGACCCAAAGCGTTGTGAGTTCAATGTCTGGCTACTAATATCTGGTGAACAAAAACTTGGAGAGTTGAAATAATTGAGACATATGGAAGAGGCATGGCACATGGAACTAGAACAATCTACCCCCTGTGGGCGAAATAAAGGGTTCAGTTCGATATTCCAGTCACCTGAAGAAGGCCGGAGCGTACAACGTCCGAATCGTCGTGAATATGGCAATAAAGATGAAGACAACAATCCGAATAATGTAAATAATTACAATATCTCAGAAAAATAGACAGATGTTAATGTTACCAGGAGAAAACCGCTGTAAAGGATATTTTACGTGCCTGGTTGGTCGTTTGAATCAGGGCAGGTTTCCCAAGTTAACTTTATATATGTTTACTTTACCGTGACAAAAGTTACGGACAGGAAAAAAAATGAATATACAAAAAAAAAATCACACTGTTTATTATTATGTATAATTTTCATATAAATTCAAACGCCCGTTATTTATTTCTATTTTATATGTGTCTCAGAGCGAAAGCGCTTCCTGTAAAGCAGTGGTCCATATTAAGTTTCTATAGGAGTATTATTTGTACTTTTTTTTTTCCTCGTTGGTTTGCGTGAAGCTACGCAATACGGTATTCACTCTGTCCCTTTACGAGACTCGAATGTAAATACACGTAAAGAAATATAGTCTATGAGTGTTGCCAGACGTTGGCGACCTGAAGCCAAAAAGATTTTAACTGCAGAGAGCGTTTCTGTTTTTCACCGGTTGTTAAATCTATTCAGATTTTATGTTCTCGGCTTGAATACTCCTTAAAAAATATTTCATCACTTTCTGCGATTCCTTATGTAAAACATTTTAGCACTTTCTGCAAAACGAACGCATATTTAGTTTTGTGAGAGAGATCGACCGACAAGCTTTTCCAAATTGGTTACATTGGAACGAAAAAAAGAAAAAACAAAGAAAAAGAAAATAGGGAGAGGGAGAGGGTATAAGGAGACTAGAAAAAGAAAATAGGGAGAGGAGAGGGTATAAGGAGACTAGAAAAAGAAAATGGGGAGAGGGAGAGGGTATAAAGAGACTAGAAAATGATAAAAAGGGAGAGGGAGATGGTATAAGGAGACTAGAAAAAGAAAATAGGGTGAGGGAGAGAGTATAAGGAGACTAGAAAAAGAAAATAGGGAGAGGGAGAGAGTATAAGGAGACTAGAAAAAGAAAATAGGGAGAGGGAGAGGGTATAAGGAGACTAGAAAAAGAAAATAAGGAGAGGGAGAGGGTATAAGGAGACTAGAAAATGATAAAAAGGGAGGGAGAGGGTATAAGGAGACTAGAAAAAGAAAATAGGGAGAGGGAGAGGGTATAAGGAGACTAGAAAATGATAAAAAGGGAGAAATAACTACGACATTTGACAGATATACATATGCACACATGCGCATGTGCGCGCGTACACACACAAAGAGTAAAAATCAGCCTAAGACTAAGAATAAAGAGCAGATCAAGAAGAGCATTTATTACATCAAACTTGGTGTAAAGATAACGAAAAAATGAGAAAAACAGTAGTCAATTGCTGAAACCTCCTGACGAGTGAACTGAATATATATATATATATATATATATATATATATATATATATATATATATATAATGGGCTCTCCTGTCGCGATTTCGATGTATGAAGTTTCGAAAATAGTCTCCTTAGTTTTGATGTTACTCTTGCAGTTGGTTGGTGCTTATAATTTTCATGGCATTTTAGTCCCTGCGAGTAACTTGCAGCGAAGACCACAGACCACACGTGTATAAAAGATTTGAAACCCGAATGGCAAGGGTGTTTGCTGCTACTTTTCTTTGAGATCGTACCTCGCGAAGATGGTTGATGGCGGTGGCTCTGTGCTGTTCGATTCCAGTGCAACATCTTGTCCGATATTCAACTCTCTTATTGGCTATCGCCTCAAACGATCAATCTGGAATTTTGACGGCCGTGAGGTTGTTTTTCAGTTTGTCCTATATATATATAGGATATGAATAGGATACAGGTTCGATTCCTGTCGGAGGACGCATATATTCTATGAGAATTTTTCGGACATTCAGGCCGGTAAATATTGTTAATACTGTTTATTATAAACAGAGTATTTACTTAAATATTTATATTTATAAAAAAGAATGTATAAACATGAAAATGTCTTAAAATAATTTTCGAACTTTGTCCAGTTCATAATGTGTGACGTCATTTGTTTACATTGAGATACGCATCGAACAGATATGAATGTATGCGAGAAAATCATGTAAAATTGTAGTTTAAAAACAGTAAAATCGACCTTGCTAACCGAACGCTCCTCTGTGGCGAAATCGATAAAAGCACGTCAGGCTATATGACGGTTCCGTATAAGATACAGGTTCGATTCCTGTCGGAGGACGCATATTTTCTATGAGAATTTCTCGGACATTCAGGCTGGTAAATGTTGTTAATACTGTTTATCATAAACAGAGCATTTACTTAAATATTTGTATCTATAAAAAAGAATGTATAAACATAAAAATATCTTAATATATATATATATATATATATATATATATATACACACACACACACACATATATATGATTAATAGAAATGAAATCATATATATACACACACACACACACACACAGAGGGTGCGATGTGTAAATTGTCGCCATTTAATATCTTTAATTTTGTGCATACACGTTGTTTATTTTTTATTTTGTCAATTGGGTCAGTTGGGCACCGTCTGTCAGAAAAAGAGCACCATGACGCCATTCTCTCCGGCAGAAATTTGGAAACGGCATGGTGTAATGCTTCGCGTTCGCATCGAAAACGCCAATACAAACATTTCATGAGTTTTTGCGTGTCAATCTGAGGACAGTGCATAGGATTCGGAAAGAGTTGGATGAGTCTAATGGTGATTACAAAGGTAAGGCAGCTCAGGAAACTCTCTCTGATCGTTCTGATAAGAAAAGAACTCCCAAATTTGTTGGTCAGAGCCTCAAACTCAACACGGGGGCCTTAATCAAGTACTTTCAGGAGGTAGTTCTGCCCTGGGTCAAGAGGGTGACTGCTGGAAGACCCTATATCTGGCAACAGGACTCTGCACCATGCCACACCTAACTCCCCATATTGCAACCCCCTTGATTATTAAGTGTGGGTGTGCAGTTGTGTGTGAGATCAACAAAACTCCTTGTAACGCCAAAGATGGGCTGAAGGCAAGGATTTTGGCAGCATTCACTAACTTAAACAGGGGGATCGTCCAGAAAAGTTGCATGAAATTCCGAAGTCGTCTGGAGGTCGTGGTTGAATAAATTTATTCTTTAGTATTTGAAGATATTTTTGTGTAATTTTGGTAAATATATCTGTTAAAATGATTGGTAAAATGAGAAGTTATTTTCATTTTTACGTAATTTAGACGACTATTTATCCATTACACCCTGAAAGAATCTAAATGAAATTAGCTAGATTACATACCGAAAACAAAAAGACTTGCCCATTATATCAAGTGGCTTCTTCATTGTAACGCCACTGATCTCACTGGCAGCCAAACCTTGAGCTTTGAAACTGCGCAGTCTCTCACACAAATAGTAGACCAAGTAACTCTGACGGACACGCTTTTCTACATTATCTTTTCTTTACGTCCTTCCCGGAACCATGTAATGCCCTGCAGTTTTTCCTCTAGGCGTCTCCGACCATGCAGTAGTATCAATAAATATCTATTTCCGCTCTCCCATCAGGCAAGAGTCCTCTAGTATACAAAATACCCTAAGTAATCAATAGTAAATAATGGGTTAAAAGTTAACAAACAACAACATACAATAGTTGCAAATAACCGCTTTCTGAACCACCATTTTTCCACTCAGTAGTCTTTAGAATAATCTAAAATATAACCGTTATATATAACCAATAACGATTAGAAGAAAATAAAAATTAATCGACAATACCTGACCTTGTTACCCATAATGCCTCATTGACCAGCATATATAAATAGTCGAGCACAACATATATTATTTGAATATTGTGTTCAAGCATGAAACAGACTGTCGCTACTCGGTGTTGACTTCAGCATCCACTTTTATATTTACATATGCTTTATTCCTAATATAGAGCACTTTACCAATACCTTAAAATATATTTTTATCATTCATATATATATATATATATATATATATATATATATATATATATATATATGTATGTGTATATATATATATATATATATATATGTATGTATAATGTTTTTCTTCCTATGAAAAGATGGCCCTAGTTGTAACCTAGATTTCACGCGATCTTCAGGCAACTTGAACGTTCAAGTTGCCTGAAGATCGTGTTAGCTAGAAACTCGGGTTAGGACTAAGGCCATCCTTTCAAAAGGTTTTGTCCACCACTGCAGTACCCAGGTATTGAACTCACAACTCTGGGGTCACTGGATCCAACCAATGATTTTATTCACTGGGCCATGTGTACTCGATGAAGAGATGATTGGAGAGTTGAGTTAAAAGGGAGATAAATGAGACATCCGGAAGAGGCGTGGCACCTGGAATTAGAACAATCTAACCCGGCGGATGAAATAAAGGGTTCAGTTCGAAATTCCAATAATCCTGAAGAAGGCCGGAGCGTATAACAGCCGAAACATCGTCAATATGGCAATGAACAACAGTCCAAACAATGTATTGTAAATAACATATTTCGCTTTTTCTTAAAGCTTCATCAGACAATGAGATATTTCATTCTCTGATTAAGCTTTAAGAAAAGTGAAACGTGAGATTGAATAAATAAATGTTTCCAGCCTAATTGTTATTTATCTTCTTATCAATCTGTCGGACTCCAATCCATACTTGATCTATATTTGACCCCAAGGTCATTACAACACTAGAGTGACATTTAGTAGTAATAAGTTGAATTTTGATAGAAATTTTCATTGAAATGTTTGATCTATGATTTACTTTAATACATTAACAAAGAAGATTACGCTGGAAAATAAATATTTGTCGCATGAATTAAAAAGCCTTGTTTCTGGCGTACAAATGTAGCAAACATTAATGGCCGGTGAAGTGTGAGAGGTTCTTGGTTCGATCTACCTCCCAATATTTAGCCAGAAATCAGATTTTTTAAAAAAATCTTTGTAATAGGGCCTAGAACTTTTCTGCACCCTCTAATCTGCTAACAATTTCATGAACCTTACGAATTCTGACACTTCATGGAACAACTAGTGTTTGTTTGAAGCAAGGAAAACAGAGTTAATATTTGCAAAGTCATGAATGTATTGTAAAGTAAACACTATGACTTAAAGCGTGTTTGTAGATAGATACTATATCGGCATGCGAAGACCGAGATAGATAGATAGATAGATAGATAGATAGATAGATAGATAGATAAACTGCTTCAGCAATAATGCTCTTTTTATTGAGTTGAAATATTCGTCTTGGAAAGCAAATCTTGAGCTATATAAATTGTTAGATTTTTAAATATTGAAAGTATGTACTAAAAACGTCCATCTTTTCTTTTAAGGATCCCTCTCCCCTACGCTTCTTGCCAACGTCGAAATATCAAAAACTTTTTACTTGCCTTGTTGATTGGTTTGTTTCGTACGAACTTGACTGAATAGTCGGGTTGATCCTTTTTTATTATTTCCTTTTTGTTTATTTTATTTATCTTTTGTCCTAACAATGCACAATAAATACAGGACAAGCAATAGAGCTTGTCGAAGGGGTGCCATTTTTGGATGACATGCGGCCTATTTCTGATATCCTCTCTAATCTAAAGAAGGCATAAAGATCCGATACAAGGAAAATTCTACGTTATTACCAACTCAATTTTTTTTCTCTCCAAAGTAGCGCTCTTTACTTTAATTTTGTGGGTGAGTTCACAGATCAGGTGTGTAACACACACACACGCGCGCGCGCGCTCGTGCGTACGTTTCGGTTTCACCGTATGTGAGTGTGAGCGTATTCATTTTGTTCGTAAAAACGTATTGGAAAATATAAAGAATTTTGCGTCTTATACAAGTGAAAAATATCACGAATTCTAGTTTTATTTATTTTTATTTTGTATATTTTATTTATCAATACTCACTGCATATCGAACAGAGTGCGTCCTATACGTTGAAAAACAACGTGTACCATTGTTGAGATTGAGAATTAACAAAAAAATTACACGATTTCAATTCAAGTTTATTAAATTTAAACGTGTATTTAAATTGGTTTCTATTTCTAAAAAAAATCCACAAAATTGTGTGTGTCATACTTAAAAATTTAAAATGATAATGAATTGTGTGTGAGAGACGTAAAGTAATGCATTTGAACTTAATTTGGTGTTTTATACCATATTTCAGCCTGTAGTAAGTAACTGTCCCCGAATATATGAGGAGATATTGATCTGATCCATTTTCCCAAATTCTGATCAATCTTTTTTTTTTTTTTTTTAAGGGCTTCTTGGCCAGGCTGAGACCTTTTCAGCGCCCCTTTCCTATTTTAGCCCAATTTTGGTTTGATTCGTGCCCTAGTTTGGCTCTGCAAATAACACGAGCATGTGTACTTTTTACAGAAATTGTAGTTAGTAATTTCTTTCTTTTAGAGACATAATTAAAAAAAAAATGCAGCAATTTATTTTGACATATATTTTTTCTTCTTTTTTTTACTGCTTGCATAAAAGAATTTCCAACAAGGAATTTGGTATCCGTTTTTGATTACTTGAAGAACGCAATTTTTTTTTAAGAAAATAATTTCGTAGCTTCACGCATGCCGTAGCTCATGTGGTAAACATGGATGTTCCTTAACATTAACAAGTTTGTTCAGTAGTTGAACGGGGGCTTATTTCAATTCGATTCCAAGATGAGTCGACAGATGAAATTTATACAAGCAATGCAAATAAATGGGTCTTGTTAAAAAAAAAAAAAAAAAAAAAAAAAAAAGGCCCTCTCTCTCCACGCCCCCAAAATATATTTTTTTATATGGTCGTAAAATTTTCTCTGGTCTAGTCTTCAAAGAAGAGAAAATATGTATCACACACACACACACACACACACACACACACACACACACACACACACACACACACACACACACACACACATATGCATTGAATTCGACGGGGATCGTGTATGCGTCTATGTCCAACAATACATTATTAAATTTTATTTTACTGTAAGTAGTGTAAAAAATGTAAATACTTCTTCTTAAGCAGACAGTAATTTTATTCACATGTTTAAAAAGTTTATATACATCCAGCATGTGTATACACTTACTTACAGACAGACAGATATGAGTAGGCAGAGATAGATAGATAGATAGATAGATAGATAGATAGATAGATAGATAGATAGATAGATAGATAGATAGATGGGCAAACATAGATATGAAAAGAGTGGGACAGAAAAATAGATATGAACAGATAGATAGAACAGGGTGAGATAGATAGATAGATAGATAGATAGATAGATAGAGATAGATAGATAGATAGATAGATAGATAGATAGATAGATAGATAGATAGATAGATAGACTCAATTGAATTGAAAAAGATATAATTAATAATGGAGTAACTGTAATTAATAGAGATAACAGTAACACTAACAGAGTGAGATAGATAGATAGATAGATAGATAGATAGATAGATAGATAGATAGATAGATAGATAGATAGATAGAACGGAGTGAGAAATATATATGAACAGATAGATCGATAGACAAAATAGACAATATCTGAGTAGATAGATAGATAGATAGATAGATAGATAGATAGATAGATAGATAGATAGATAGATAGATAGATAATAACAGTAACACTAACAGAGTGAGATAGATAGATAGATAGTTAGATAGATAGATAGATAGATAGATAGACTGAATTGAATTGAAAAAGATATAATTAATAATGGAGTGACTGACTGAGAAATAAAGACTGAGTTAGAGATAGATAAATGAACGGACTGAGATAAGAAACTGTTTTTAGTTAGCTACACATGATAGATATGATCAGATTGAGAGATAGAGATACGAACAGACTGAATTAGGTATAGAGACTGAGACAGACCAATAAATTATGAACAAACCAAGGCAGAATAATAATTGCAGATTGCTGCTATGGTACAGTCGGCATGCAGATCATATGATCAATAAATTTGGAACGAAGTATTGATCAACTTCAAATGCAATAGAATATAACAACATTTTATCACAGATTTTTTAAAAAATTTTCCATTTTGTTGTTTTTTGTTTGCCGTGGGCTTTTGTAAAAAAAAAAATTAGTAAACCTCTGGTCCTAAATATTTTTAATTTATATGTGTTAAAAATGCATTTAAAAAACTCATCAACTCAACAAAAACATTTCGTTAAGATTAAGAAGCTTTTAAGCAGAAATGAATTTTTGTCTAATATGTTGATAGATGGACAATCATCGTTCGCTTCTCAATAATAAACTTCTGGGGTCGCGTAACTTAGTGCTTTCCCGTGGAGGAAACGAGGGTGTGTGTGACTGTGTACTTCCCAGGGTAGTGGGGGTTTTATTGATTCATCAGTTACAATCTATTTCAATCTTAGCCTCTCCATTTAAGTCGGTTCATAACTGTGTCAGATTTTAATATGCAAATCAGGATTTTCACAATAAAAATCGTATTAAACAACCAGTGCTGGATACATTTTTTTAAGGATATAAGCAATCTGAAGCCCAATAGTGCCAGTTTCAGCATACCTTATTAAAAAATTTGATAATTAGTTTTAAGGGGTATCAACTTTTCTTTTATTAAGAAAAAAAAACATGTAAATAAAAATAAATTCAAAAGACATAGGCTAGAAATATAACAGAATTTGCCAAATACCCAAATAAATTATTATTTTTTTAATTTATATGCTAATATAGGCTATTTTAATAGAATCAGTTTTTCAGTCATTGGATTTATTAAATTTTTGACACTTGTGACTTTTACTTTTAACTTTTAATGACGGATCACAAGTTTTCTATTTGATTAATATCTGGTGAGGCTGGGGTCATATTACATGCAGCAGTTTTTATTGCTTCCCAGAGATCTTCTTTGCTTGAATATTGTTTTCCATTCTCATAGGCATCTCTTAATGATGGACCACAAGTTTTCTATTGGATTAATTCTGGTGAGGCTGGGGTCACATTACTTGCAGCAGTTTGTATTGCTTCCCAGAGATCTTCTTTGCTTGAATATTGTTTTCAATTCTCATAGGCATCTCTTTTAATGACGGATCACAAGTTTTCTATTGGATTAATATCTGGTGAGGCTGGGGTCACATTCCTTGCAGCAGTTTTTATTGCTTCCCAGAGATCTTCTTTGCTTGAATATTGTTTTCCATTCTCATAGGCATCTCTTTTAATGATGGACCACAAGTTTTCTATTTGATTTATGTTTGGAGAGGCTGGGGTCACTTTACTTGCAGCAGTTTTTATTGCTTCCCAGAGATCTTCTTTGCTTGAATATTGTTTTCCATTCTCATAGGCATCTCTGTTAATGATGGACCACTATTTATTTTACTGAATGAATGTTTGAAGATAAAGGGTCTATTCCATTTTCATGGATGTTTCTTGGTTGTTTTCTGTACCATTCCAAATTCATTTTGTCCAAGAACTTACAATAATTCTATGCATTTATTCCATCAATTTTGAAGGGACCAATAATTTGTAATTAGTTTTGCTTAGAAACCATTGACCTACTTATCCAATGTTTTTTTTTAAGTTCTGTTGGTCATCTATTTCCAAGAAAAATCCAGCCATTAGATACATCCAATGTAATACTATATTTATTTACGTTCTATTTTTTCAGTTTTCATGTTCCACTTTTCTGTTTCTAATGTTTATCTAATGTCTATCAAGACAGTACTTTCATTTCTTTCATGTTTTTTAACTAATGAACCTAATATTTCCTTTTCCTTACATTTACAATATCAACATCTTCAAATATTTTTCTTTCCAGTCAATAATATTTCTCTTGTTTATTACACCTTCGTTTTTATTTAACTCTTTTTTTTTTTTCAATATTCTTAAAAACAGATTTTTTCCACTTCTTATCTTGTTTCCTTTTTCATTGTTCTTTGATAACTTTTGGTCAATGTTGTGTCTCTACAACTCAATAATTTTTTTTTAAAAATATCCTGTTTTTCTTTTGAATTTATAACTTTCTTACAACTCATGACAATTTTAATATATCTGAAATTTGAAAATAAATATCAAGGACTATATAGTATCATAAATGGCAGAAATATGTCCCACATAATATTAAGACATTCATTAGCAAGATTATGATACCATTGCCGCTAAATGTCATACCATTATGTGGGCGGTATTTCTGGGAAGTATATTTAATGGGTATTTCAGACACACCCTGTATATATTTATTTACAATATGATGAAGAACATTCAGGCGGCATAATAAAATCGAACACTAGCTGATTAAGTTATTGTAAAAATTTCTAATAAACAAAAACAGATTTTAGATTTTTAGTAGCTGAAATTCACATGGTATATTTATCATGTAAATGATATCTTCACAATTTGACTAACATTGGTTGCAAACATTGACTAATAGAATAAAATCTGGCATAATGTAAATCTATCTCTCTTACATTTTCATGCTTGTAAAATCTGGTATATTTATATCTTAGATACATAAGGGTTTCCATACTTTTGTCCTTGTGCTAAAGTTAAACTTAGTAAATAACTCTACCTAATTATTTCTCTCTCTCTCTCTCTCTCTATATATATATATATATATATATATATATATATATATATATATATATATATATATATATATATATATATATATATATATATATATATATATATATATATATATATATATATATATATATATATATATATCCTAATTTAAACACAAATATATATATATGTCGTCCTGGGTAAGATGTTAAACTACGTGCAGCAGCAAGGCCTCTGATCAGGAGGTTTTGTGGAGCATGGAACCACCTCTTAATTGCTGGTGTTCCCAGGTCCACCCACTGTTAGGGTCCCAGCTATGGGCAAATAGTTAACTATTAACAGCAATGCTTTTTGAAAAAATTATTGCCAGCAATACAATTTTGAAGGGAATATATTACCAGAAACAGATTTTTGACAAAACAAAATATTACCAGCAATAAAAAATTTTGTCGGCATTAAATAACCTATTGAGGTTGATATGCCGTTAAACAAAATAAACCAAACCAATCTAAACCAAAGAATACATATTCTATTCATAGGAATCTATCCTAAAAATGTTGTCGACATTAAATAACCCATTGAGCTTGATATGCTGTTAAACAAAATTAACCAAACCAATCTAAATTAAAGATTACATATTCTATTCATACGAATCTATCCTAAAAATATTGTCAGCATTAAATAACACATTGAGGTTGTTATGCCATTAAACAAAATAAACCAGACCAAACCAAACCACATGTATATGTGTGTGTATATATATATATATATATATATATATATATATATATATATATATATAGATGTATATATGAGTACATATATATATAAATATATATATATATATATATATCTATATACATATATATGTATATATATGTGTGTGTGTATGTATATATATGTATAATATATACACACACACACACACACATATATATATATATACATACACAAGCACACGCATACATACACAAATATGTATATATATATATATATATATATAGATAGAGAGAGAGAGAGGAGAGAGAGAAAATTTCAGGTTTCCTCCTATATATATATATATATATATAATATAAATAATCCATTGTAAAAAATAGTTTTTTCTTTTGTCTTTATTTACATGTACATGCACACAACCACACATACACACATAATGAGAAACTGATGGTCTGATGATCACATAAGGTATGAAACTGATAGTCGTAATGAAGTGTTGATATATATATATATATATATATATATATATATATATATATATATATATATAATATATATAAAAAAATTCTCAGGGTATGAATATGGCAGTCACCATGGCGTATTGATTCTTTATTCCCATACGTTTTCTACAAACACTCTATGCGTTCTTGCCAAATTGGCAAGCGATCTCAGTCAGGGCAGTTCCTTTTCATCTTTCTCTCTACATTCTCTCTCTGCATTCTCTCTCCCTATCTTCTCACTATATTCTCCCTCTCTTTCTCTCTACATTCACTCTCTCTCTCCCTTACTTTTCTCTTCATTCTCTCTATCTCTCTCTACATTCTCTCTCTCCCACTCTCCTCCCTATATTCTGTCTGTCTCTCTACATTCTCTCTCTCTCTCTCGACATTCACTCTCTCTCTACATTCACTCTCTCCTCTCTACATTCTCTCTCTCCTTCTCTTCTCTGTACATTCTCTCTCTCCCTCTCCTCTCTACATTATCTCTCTCTCTTCTCTCTACATTATCTCTCTCTCTACATTCACTTTCCCTCTCTTCTCTCTACATTCTCTCTTTATAAAATACTCTCTCCCTCTCTTCTCCCTATATCCTCTCTCTCTTTCTCTCTACATTCACTCTCTCTTCCTCACTCATCTCTCCATTCTCTCTCTCTCTCTCCACATTCTTTCTCTCCCACTCTTCTCCCTATATTCTCTGTTTCTACATTCTCTCTCTTTCCCTCTCTTTTCTCTACATTCTCTCTGTACATTCTCCCCCTCTCTCCTCTCTACATTCTCTCTCCCCTACTCTTCTCTCTACATTCTCTCTCTCCCTCTTCTCTCTACCTTATCTATCTCTCTTCACGTTCTCTCTCTCTACATTCTCTTTCCCTCTCTTCTCTCTACATTCTCTATCTCTATATATATTCTCTCTCCCCCTATATTCTCTCTCTTTCTCTCTACATTCACTCTCTCTCCCTCACTTTTCTCTTCATTCTCTCTCTCTACATTCTTTCTCTCCCACACTTCTCCCTATATTCTCTGTCTCTCTCTACATTCTCTATCTTTTCCTCTCTTTTCTCTACATTCACTGTCTCTACATTCTCTCTCTCCTCTTTACATTCTCTCTCTCCCTCTCCTCTCTACATTTTCTCTCTCTACATTATCTCTCTCTCTTCTCTCTACATTCTCTCTCCCTCTCTTTATACATCTGTCTCCTCTCTACATTCT